CCAGCCTCAGTTTCCTGTAAAATGGGGCTCCCAACACTTTGTTCACAGACTTGCTGTGGGTACAGGTGGAGGGCATGGGTGTGAAGGCACCCAGAGCCACAGGCCGGGGTGCCCAGGGGTCACCTAGGCAGCCCTTCCAGCCACCTGGCTTCCCAAGAGCTCGGCCAAGTTCCTGGCAGGTAGTACGTACGCAGGTAGTATTTGCTGAATAAGAGCTTCCAGGAGCTCAGGGCCGGGACTGTGGGGAGGAGCACCCTTTGTCTCCAGGCGGGGAGGAGGCCCTCCCCCAACACCCCGCCAAGAGGCCAGGTTCAGCCCAGGTGCCCCCATCAGCATTCAGGGGATGCATAGGCCTCAGTGAGTACGTTCTGCAAATGCCTCGAAATGGATGTTTTCATTATCAGATTTAAAACATTGTACGAGAACAGACTCAGTTCCTTTCCGGAGCAGGGGAAAGGTTTGGCAGAGCAGCCTGTAAAAACCAAGTCCAATTCTCATCTCTTCCCCTGTCTGTGTGATTAGGCTGGTCCCCACTCTGTCAGCCCAAGAGAGTGGGGAGAATGGGGACATTTGGGTCTTCCCCCTTCTCCCCACTGCTGAGAGGGTGGTTGGGGGCGCCCCAGGAGGACAGAAAGGGCCTTTCTCTCTCCCTCAGCCTGTGGCTCCCCAATTCCTGCTCCGTCTCTCCTCGGTTTACAGGAAGAAGCAGACTGTCCCCCAAACCCCAGCCTAACCCCCACACTGACCCATTTGTCTGCAGCCTGGTTTGTCACATTACAAACTTTACATGGGGAAAAAAGTAAGACTGACTGACTCAGATTTGATGTACTAGCTTGAGCCAGTGTACCCGGGGCCCAGCGCCCCTGGCCTTGGCCCACACCACCGAAGACTGCATCTGAGCCCCCGCTGGCTGGTCCATGCAGGGCCCTGCGACTCTAATCAGACAAAGACAGGCCTGGTGGTATCCAGCCTGTCGGGTGGGGTTCAAGGCTGGGTTTCACCCCTCTCAGGTCCGAGGCCTTGGGCAAGAGTCCCTGAACTTCTCTCTGAGGGAGTGTGGGTCTATTTCTCTGCCAAGTGGGAGAATTTACCCAGGCCCGCAACTCCAAGGTGCTCTCGAGCCCAGAAGCTCGGCATCGAAGCTCACCCGGAAGGACACGGAACATGGGCTGACTGCCTCTGTACGATCTTTCCTCTTTCACACCTTTGGCTGCAGTTTGGAGCAATGCCGCCCCAGGGGCCCTGAAGGATGGAAGCCCAGGCGGTCCATCCCCTAAAACTGCAAACTCGGAGTGCCAAGTCACAGGGCCCCAGGGGTTCAGATAAGGGACTGGCGTCCTACACCACCTGGAGCACGGAGTTGTTGTGATTAACACCTGAGGGGTTAAAACACTGCCTGGCATTTACATCAGAGGAAACTGAGGCTCGTCTGCGTCCATTTGGAGAAGACACAGGGTGTGGCACTTGTTCAACCCAGTGCCCGGGGCTCATGGGGCTCTGGGCAGTTCAGAGAGGAGAACCCATTGATCTCGGCAGTTCGGTCACTTGGCCTGTTTGCAGCATGGGCAGGACCACAGGGGGTCCAAGGTGTGGGCAGCAGGGATGGCCAAGGGGGCAGGAGGGGTGACCTGAGCCGGCATCCCTGGGGCAGAAGGGACATCTCAGCTAAGACGAACGGGCAGGGACTGGAGAGGGACTTTGGGAGGTCCCTCGTCATCACAGAAGAGTCACAGAAGAGTCACTAAGAACAAGGGTCTGAAGTCGCAGTACATGGGTTCAAAGCTCACTGTCACTTGCTTGCCTTATGACTTAGGGCAAGTCACTGCCCTTCTTTGGGCCTCAGTTTACTCATCAACTGAATGGGAAGAACGATAGCTATCTCACTGAACTGAGCAGGTTCACAGGGGTAAGATCTGCAAAGCACTAGGCGCCACGCTGGCCATGAGGCTCCCAGAGGTCAGCTGTTGGCGATTTAGGAGCTGACAAAGCCACCAGGAGGGGGCTGACTGATGGATGAACACAGTTGATGGGACATATCTGCAGGTTAAAAGGCTGGGTCTCTTGAAGTAAGCCATGTAATGGAGGAAAAAGGTATGTGTGTGTGTAGAAGTGCTGTGTAGACTAAAAGAGAATTTAGGGGACACCTTGGTGGCTCAGTCGGTTAAGCGTGTCTGCCTTTGGCTCAGGTCATGATCCCAGTGTCCTGGGATCGAGCCCCACATTGGGCTCCCTGCTCAGCATGGAGTCTGCTTCTCCCTCTGCCTGCGTCTCCCCCTGCTTGTGCGCTCTCTCTGACAAATAAAAATTAAAGAAAAGGAGAGAGAGAGAGAGAGAGAGATGAGAATTTAGGGTTCTAACAGCCACACGTATGGCCCTAAACAGGATTCTGGAGACTCAGGTGACAATTTCGGTGAAATGTAAGTACGACCTGGGGATTAGGGTGCAAACATATTGTAGGCATGTTTAAGGTGTGCTTAACCCCTGGGCAGAGGGACTGGTCCAAGCACACTGGGATGGCAGGGCGGGACCTGCAGCCCCCTCCCTACCTCCCTGGGCTGCCAGCCGTCTGTCCATCCGTCCATGGAGAGCCAATCTGCCCCGACAGAGGGAGCCCGGGTGCAAACTGCAGCAGCTCATCTGTCTGCCATGAGTCACAATATTTGCTGCCTGTCTCTCCACGTGAGACCTCCGGCAGCCCGCAGAAACTGTGAACTTGGGGCTGTGACGGTGGGTGTTAAATCCACTATAGGCAGCAGAGGCTGGGAGCGGTCCAAATGCTGACTTGAGAGATTGCTTGTCTCCGGCTGGCAAAGCGGGCACTGGTGCTCATGGGTCCTCCCCCTCCCCGGGGAGGGAGTCAGGAGGGAGGCTGGAAAGGCAGCAGGCATTAGCTTTGTTTCTGCAGCAGCAACCGCACCCCCCCGGGAGGGGGGGGCTCTCCCATCTAGGTGGTCTGGACACACTGGGCTGGGTGCTTCTAACTGGCTCTGGGCACTGCTCCGAAATTCCCGCGCTCTGAGAAAGCACTCTAGCTTTCCGCATGGGTGGATGCCGTGATGAGCACTCATGAGCACTTACTGTGTGCCCCAGGGTCTATGTGTGCTTTCACACTCAGTCCTCAAGAAAGCCCTCTCAGGTGGGTATCACTAGTTTGTTCCCCTTCCCAGGGGAGGGGTCTGTGGCCTCCGGAGGTGGAACTGCTCGCCTGAGGTCACATGGCCAGTGGGCGGTGGAGAGGACGGGAAGCCAGGTGGGAGCTGAATTGACCTTTGGGGTCATCTCTTTCAGTGTCCTCAGCCTTGACCCAGTGTTGGAGGAATCACCTGGAAGCTCCTGAAAGCTACTCAGGGCTGCGTTCTGCTGGGATGCGTTCTATCCAAACACTGAGGGAAAACAGGCATCCCCAGTGGTATTGCCATGCAGCAGGGAGTGAGAACCCCAGGCAAGGAGAAGGTGAGGATGGGGGAGATGCTCCCTGCAAGAGATCCATGGCCAAGAGTGGGCATCACAAGGCCCATACAGTGGCAGGGGAGGGGGGAGGTGGTGGCTGGGGTAAGGCTATACTGGGTGGAGGCATGCAGGTGGCAAGCACTGAGACATGAGCAATGCGTTGGCCTCTGCTCTGGGACAGACACACATCCCCCGGGGAGTGAGAAAGGGGAGTCTCAAGGAGCAGCTAGTTTCAGGGGGGTGAGTCTCAGCCTCTGAAAACCTGCCATGGGCATCTTTGGGCACCCCGGGGAGCTCCTAGGCTAGCCTCCCGGGGAAACGTGGTCAAGCAGCACCCCAAGAAAGCACTTTTCAGTCCCGGCTGCTCATATTATGCTCTAATCATGTGGGCGACTTTTTAAAATACCCAGACCCGGGCCCCGCCCGGGCGGACCAAATACGGCTAAATCCAGAGGAAATAATGAGCCTGCATGTGGAAAGCAGCAAGAATCGCCCCAGCCTGTGTCCAGGCAGAAGCACACAGGGGCTGAGGGCAGCAGCTGCAGTCACATTGTCGGACTGGGAATCCTGCCTCTGATGTAGATTAGCTGTGTGGCCTTGGAGGACTCAACCTCTCTGAGCTTCAGTTTCCTGATCTCTACAATGGGGCTGAGACTAGCAATTGTTCTCCAAGTCCGAGGCAGATGAAAGGAGATGATGGATCAACAGGGTTTAGAACAGTGCCCAGCACGACGGAAGAGCTCAGTATTCACATTATTGTTTTATGCATTATTTGTGTTTTGAAGAGAAGCAGGCAACCCCCATCGGTGAGGCCGGGGCAGGCATCCTCCATATTGCCCTCACGTCCCTGGCAGTGAGCCCAGGCACAGCCGGAGAGGCCTGGCAGGGCGGGCGGGGGTTGGGGGATGGGGGCCGTGTGTGGAGCTCGGATTCTGCTCTTGAGGCCTGCTCCCCGCTCACCCTCCCAGTGAAGACCCTGGGAAAGGCACCCGCTGCCCCCTAGTGGCCAAGGGCAGAAGCGCAGGGCCATTTTAACCACATCCTGAACTCCCTGCCCAGCCCCCACCTCCCTGGGTGCCTCCCGCAGGTCCCGGAGATCCCCGTGGCACTGTGCTACCTACAGGGGCTTTTTGATGGATTCTGCCTTTTCAGAAGGAGCTTTGACTGTTAATACAAAGTTCAAATAGGGCCAGGTATGTGCCAGGCACTGGGATTTACAAGCACTTGAGTCTTTTTTCCCCACACGGTCAATTTCAGAAAAAAAAAAAAAAAGGAAGATTCAGAATCTACAGGTTTTTGTTTCCAGGGCTCACAAAAGTCTGTGAACTTGCTGGGTGCTCAAGCTCCAGGGGCCAGGAAGCTTAAAACTCCCCTTTCTGGAAAAGCAGGTAGGAATTGTCCCAGAGGACAGAGGGCCATACAAAAAACCCCCAGTGTCCTGGAGACACAAAACCGAGTGACCCAAAGCCCTTCTTTCCTTCAACTCCTTAAGAGCGCTACGGGGAAAGTGGCTGGAGAAGGGACAAAGGAGGCAGGCTAGGGTGGGCGGGAGACTCTATCCGACGGTCACCCTTCTTTCTGGACTCCCAGGGAAGCCCTGGTTTACTCAAGAGCTTTTTATTTCCTTTCTGCCATCTTTTCTGCAAAACCTGTGGGTACAGACTGGCAGAAACTGGGTACATTAACCATGACTTCAGCCAGCCCTGGGATGGGAGGACAGAAAGCAAAGACCACCACCTACACAACTGCTGGGGGGCCCATGGTCTAGCTGGAGAGAAGAACAGAGCACACGAAATGCTGAAGGATTCAAACAGGGCAGGGTGTGCAGGGAGGAAGGTGGGACCAGGGTCATCCTGGCGGTGGTCAGGGAAGGCTTCCCGGAGGAGGTGGAAGGGACCAAACCCTGAGAGACGGGTGGAAGGGTAAAGGCAGAGGGAGGGAGAAGGCACACTGCATCCAAGTGTCCAACCAAGTGGACAGAGGGTTTGAGAAGGTGGCAGCGGCCCAAAGCAGATGGGTGTGTGGGAGCTTCAGGGAGGACAGGAAGGATCCCCTCACATTACAGAGGACCCCACATGGCCCCACTGCCTAGGCAGCTCAAGAGAAGGCAGGACACAGGCCGGGTCTTCCAGGGACCCCAGCCCAGTGCTGGTTCCAGATCACACTGCTAGAAATGGAGGGGTGTGGCCGCGGGGAAGGCCGGCGTAGGGGGCCTTGGGGCCCACTGGCCAGCACAGAAGCTGACTCTGGCACCTAGAATACCCCAGGAAGTGGCTTCTTGGTGGGGCTGCAGCAGCACAGGTTCATCTCAGAGACCATCCAGGGCTTGGCGCACGGAGGGGTCCAGGAAGGCAGCCGAGTGGACGGAGATGCCGGGGACCCCGATGCTGGTTTCCAAGCAGTCAAACCCGCAGTCATTCAGAGCCTGCTTCACGGCCTCTACCTCCGGCTGCTCCAGATCTGGGGGAGGGAAAGCAGCAGGTCACCCCACAGTCGTCTGCTCCCTTAGAGACTGTCCATCCAGGGAAAGGCCTGGGACCAACCAGGTCTTCCTGTTGGAATGTCAAGGCTTGCACCCTTGGGAGGGGGGATGGGGGGTGGTTACAGAGCCAACAGTTAAAATCATGGGCTCCTGAGGCCCACAGACCTGGCCTTGTCATGGATCAGCCACGGGGCCTCAGCCAAGTGACTTCCCTTCTCTGAACCTCAGTCTCCTCATCTAGGAATGGGGCTAATACCTACCCCCGCAGGGTCCCTGTGAGGCTCACATGGGAGAATGCAGATAAGGCGCCTGGCATAGCAGACACGCCCCAGAAGCCCTCTCTCTCATTATCATCCCCGACCCTGAACTTGGAGCCAACAGTCAAAGTCTGCCATTGGCTGTGCTGACGTCCTGATGCTGAGGAACACTAAGGTTGAGGGGAGCCGCTGGGGCCACTGTGGGCTGACCGCAAAGCAACAGAGAAAGGTGGGACAAAAAGAGAAAGAAGAAGGTAAAGAAAGGGAGAGAAAGACCAGGAGGCGGGGGCAAAGGAAAGGCAATGGAGGCGGGAGCTCTGAGGGCCCGGTCCTGAGGGCAGGTATGTTGACTGAGCACAACCAGGAGTCCCTTGCTGGCCCCAGGCACATTACCAAGCCTTGCTCTTTCCCCAGATGCTAAAGGGAGAGAAAGCCCTTTGCTCTGTAGCAAGGTCAGTCCCATCTTGGCCGCATCAAGAGGTGACAGCAGGGGAGACGAGTGATGACAATGTCCTGGTTATTTCTCGAGCTTGTGGGAGACTTGGCAGGTGAGGACACGGTAGGGACAGCCACCCCAGTAGGAGCCCCAGGCCTATGTTGGGCATTCTAAATGCACTTTTCTCCTCGAATCTAGACAACGATCTTATAAAATAGATGTTAGCATCCTTATTTTACTGATGCAGCCACAAAGACCCAGAGAGGTTCATTAACTTGACCAAGGCCTCACAGCAGAGGTGAGGCTGTTCTCCAGCGTCCTCCACCTCCCGAACGAATTGCCTGAGTAGAATGTTTGCTTGACCCCTGGCTGGCAACCCTGCCCAGCCCCCAGCTACCTGGCCTGAGGAGCGTGATACCACAGCCACCGCCGCCCCCGCCGGTGAGCTTGCTGTGCAGTCCATGGGCCATGGTCACCCGGCAGAGTTGGTCCAGTGAGGCATGGCCTACGCCAAGGGCATTGAGATGGTGCTGGTTCATGTCGATGAGCTCCTGGAGGAGGAGAAGGTTTCATCTGTTCTCACTTGGGGTGCCTGAAGCCAAGGTCCCATGCCCACCCCACCCATGTTGACGGCCACTGGTCTGGGACGGCAAATAGCTTAGACAAGCTAGCACCGTGTCCCTCTCCACTGCTCAAAGAACCTCTCCTTCCTACAGGACTCCCCAAGGGGCTGGGACGGAGCTGGTGGCGAACACATGGCCCACGCCTGTCCAAAGCAGCCTCTGGCCATGGTGACTGGCCAGAGAGGGCCTGTGACCCATGCTGGGCCAACCGCAGCCCTCCTGGGGTTTTCTCTGCTCTGCCCTGGAAGTGCTAAAACTGGCTGACTTCAGAGGTAAGCCGCCAGAGTTACCTGCCCTGCACGTGGTCAGAGATTATATGTTAGATGGAGAGAGATTTCAGACTGAGTTGTTTTGGCCCCTGGATTCAGCTATGCCTAAAGCTGTTCTTGCTGGTCTTTACTCAGTTATGAGCCAATACATTCCCTTTCTGTTAAAGCTTGGTTGGGATAGGTTTCTATCACCTGCAGAAGTCTGAAGTACTCTGCCATCCCACAGCTGCCTTAGGTGCACCTATTTTCAGAATTAAGAACTGGTTTATTGGGATGCCTGGGTGGCTCAGTGAGTTAAAGCCTCTGCCTTCAGCTCAGGTGATGATCCCAGGGTCCTGGGATCGAGCCCCACATCGGGCTCTCTGCTCAGCAGGGAGCCTGCTTCCCTTCTCTCTCTGCCTGCCTTTCTGCCTACTTGTGATCTCTGTCTGTCAAATAAATAAATAAAATCTTAAAAAAAAAAAAAAGAACTGGTTTATTGTTCTAACAAGGTCACAAGTGGGGGAAAGAGCTAAATGTGTTTGTTTCATCAAATTCCTGCTCTTCTGAGGCTCAAATGGCATGGAGGTTGATGAAACAACAAAACTGACAGCTAGCAGAGCCCAGGCATCCCCCTACAACCTTTCATTTACCCCACCAGTGTTTGCCAAACACCTTCACCATGCCGGGCACCGTGCTAGGCACTGGGACTCTAAGAACGAGCACCCAGCTACCGTCCCTGCCACGGGGAAGCTAAGCATGTGGGATCTGGAGTCGGGGGGGCCTGGGTTTGAGCACCAGCTCCGTGACCTCCTGGTCCTAGGCGAAGGCTTTGACCCCATGCCTCAGTTTCCTCACTTATAAAACCAGCATCGTAAGAGGCTCTGCCTCACTGCCATGGGGATGGGACAAGGTGAGGTTTTTTTTTTTTTAAAGATTTTATTTATTTATTTGACAGACAGAGATCACAAGTAGGCAGAGAGAGGCAGGCAGAGAAAGAGGGGGAAGCAGCCTCCCCGCCCAGCAGAGAGCCCAATGCGGAACTCGATCTCAGGACCCTGAGATCATGACCTGAGCCGAAGGCAGAGGCTTAACCCACTGAGCCACCCAGGTGCCCAAGACAAGGTGAGTTTTTTGCATGATGCCTGGCCTGAGATGAGGGCTTCAGGAACATCAGCTGCTCTTAGTACTTTATGGTCACATCACCGTCCTCTTCGTTTCAGGGGATGCTAAGGCTTAGGGAGAAAAGTGACTCGCCTAAGGTTGCTGAGCTGGCAAGGTACCAAGCCAGCCCTGGAAGCTGGGTCTGCCCGATGCAAAGCTCCCATCTACCCCACCTCCCAGAGTGCCCTCGGCATTCTGGCTGCCACCTACTTCTTGTGGCATGGGGCTTGACAGCGCGCGGCTCTGCTTCAGGGACGGGGAGTGCCTTTGTGCCCGCAGGGTTGCCAATCACCGAGCTGTCTGCTGAGGCCCACCTGGCTCCCCTGCCCTAGGCTATCGGGTGGACTCAGGTCAGCCCTTCCCTGCAGCCCGCCTCACACCCTCCCCCCGCCAGCACTTCTGACAAATGAGTAGACAGGCGTGATGGCCCGGTGGCAGCCCTGGGTGCCTTTCCCCAGCCCCAAGGGCTGGATATGAGGGTAAACTTCTGGAGGCTGCTCTCTGCGCCGGAACGCCAGGTGTCACGTTGCAGAGGCAGGTTTTAGACACCTGTCACATTCTGATCCAAAATCTGTCAAGGATCAGATGACAGGTTGTGACACAGGAGAACAGCTCGCTGGTTTGAGCACAAAGCTGTCCAGGAGCCGAGCTGCGCATTTCAGCGGCTGCCACAGCCAAAAATATACACAATGTATAATCAACGTGCTGTTCCGTGGCATTCTCCAGGGGCTCAACAGGGTATATTTCAGGCAGTACTCTATCATTATTAATTTCCTACTCAGGAGGACTGTGTTCCCTCCTTCCTACGTGAAAGGAATTGAAGCCAGCAAGGCAAATGCCGGGAGACTGGAGGCAGACAGCTATGGAAATCAGAGCAAAAGCACAGAAGCGAATGGGGGTCCCCGCCCCTGGTGCAGGTGGGCGCTTATTCAAGATCTGTTGGCCAAAGAGACAAGCAAGTCAGTCAGCTGGATGCCTGTCATGGCCACTCACTGGCTGGCGGACCTTACAGAAAGTGGCTCTTTGGGCCTCAGTTTCTGTATCTGTAAAATGGGCACAGCCTATTTCCCAGGCAGGTGGTTCTAGAGATCAAGGGAGAAGTCATTTGTGAAAAGGCACGGCCTAGGAGCTGCTTCCGTTCACTATGAGGGCTGCCGACTCGAATGCCTCCAGTGGGACAGAGAGGCAGCAGACAGCCTGCAGCAGCTCAGGGTGGCAGTTAAGGAGTGCTGGGGACTGTATGTCACCCACCCAGCCTTGCTGTGTTCTTAGGATGCTCCGGTGAGACCAAGAAGGCTGAAGCTGGGGTTTGGATTGGGACCTGATCAAACCCAAGGTGTGAGGTCTCAGCCTCTACACGAGAATTACGCAGAGGGTGGTGGTTGAGGGAATGGTGAAGAAGGAATGGGGTGAGAATATGTCCAAACTGGGGTACCTAGGTGGCTCAGTTGGTTACACATCCGACTCTTGATGTTGGCTCAGGTCATGATCTCAGGGTCGTGGGATCAAGCCCCACATCAGGCTCTGTACTTAGTGCAGAGTCTGCTTATCCCTCTCCCTCTCTCTCTGCTCCTCCTCCCAGCTCGCCCTCTCCCTCTTGAAAATAGATAAATAAAAAATGTCTGAGCCAAAGCATGCCGGTGATAAACATTCACCAGAGGAACAGATGCAGTTAGCAGGAACAGCAAGAAAGAGAGGGGGGCGAGCAAGAAATCGCTTCTGGACCGACAAAAGACAGCGTCAGCAAAATCCCACTGTTCCCCACAGGCAGGAACCCCAGCCCGGCCCCGGGCGCTTAGCATATGCCTAGTACGCGCTGGGCACTGCCCTCTGTACCTTGCACGTACTCCCTCCACGGCTCTAAATCGCCTGGGAAGAGGATTAAGAAGGCATGCTTGCTGGCCTTGGCACACACGGGACCCCCGGCCTGGGCCCAGCCTCTCTGCTTTGGCTCGGGGGATTCTGAGTGCCGATGGGGAGTCCCTGCCTGACAGCGGTGCTGGAGAGGCCCTGTGCCGCGCAGATAGTCTCTTACTTCCAGCACGAGGTAGTGCTCCGGTGCCGGGGCCACAGCCATCTCCCCCAGCGTCCGCTCGCACTCCAGTGAAATCGCGTTGATGGAGGTCAGCAGGGGTGTCACGATCTCTGGGAACTGGAGGGAGAGGAAGCAAGGGCCCATGAGGCCTGGGGCATGGGAGGAGAGAGAGGTGTCCCCCCAGCCCAGTCCCTGCCCCCCCGAGGAAACCCCCTCTCCGTCCCCCCTAGGTATCTGCCTTGCCCAGCACCCTGACATGAGTGGGGGATTCTCATCACCAAGCCGGCACACCTGACACTTCCTGTGCTGCTTCCCAGCTGTGTGGGGGGTGGCGACGATGACACAGCAGCTCCTTGTCTGCCACAACTGCCTCCCCCGGTCCCCATTGCCCATCCCAGCCCTCCATTAACCCATGGGGCAGAGGGAAGGCTCGAGCCCCCAGACCTGGCTGCTGAGGCCCTGCCATAACCCCGCCCAGGAGCAGACCAGGAGGGCACCTTGAGCAGCCGGCTCCTGACACTGGCCACAAGAGTCTTTGTGCTGCGAGGGACTTTGGTGTTGGTCAGCAGGATCTTCAGAAGCGGTGGCCTGTGGGGTGAAGAGGGGTCCCCTTGAGCTCAGGACAGAAAAGAGGTTTCAGGGCCAGGGGCCATCCCAAAGTCACCCCACCCTGTCACAGAGGAGGAAGCAGAGGCCCAGGGAGGGGTCCTCGGGAGGCTGGAGAGGGAAAGAGGGGAGCGGGAGGCTCCTGCTGCCAGTCACAGCTGCGTCTCCACTCCAGCCCCCAGGCAGATAGATACTTCCCTTTGGCTTGTCACCCACCCACCTGACTTCAGTGGGGCACCTGCTACAGGCTGGGCACACGTGAGGGGGCCTGGCTCAGCCTGGAGCTGGCAGAAAACGCCAAGTTCATGTGGTTTGAGGAGTTCAAAGGTACCGCAGCCAAGGGTACAAGAAAGGGTGGAGGTTCTGTCCTGTGGGCCACCCCAGCTTGGTGGAGTGGAAGGGTCTAGAGATTTAGGAAGAAAAGCAACGGGATCTGGAGTGGATCACGCAGAGAGGGTGCACGCAGGGAGCAAAGATGCCCAGGTTGGCTGGTACAGTGAGCCCAGGGGTGGGAAGGCTTGTGCAGGTGCTGGGTTCCCAGCAGGTGGGGCCCATCCTTGCCCTGCCTTGACGGCACCGGGACCTGCTGCCCTGGCTCAGCCAGAGAGGGTTAGAGGGAGTCAGTAATCCCTGCTTGGCTGCCCCAGGTAAGAGAAGAGAAGGCCCAGGGAGGCCACGGTAAGCTGCCCTTGCCAAACCCCTGGAGCTTCTGAATACCTCCGGAAGTCATAATCGCAGCTGTCCTATGGCTGGCAGCCTCTGGGGACTCCGAGCCCCATTTCTTGTCATCCCCAAGCTGCCTTGCAGAGCACTGTGTGCCGGGGATGGAGGACGGAGCATCTGGACGAGCTCTGGCCTGAGAAAGCTGGAGACATGCAGACCTCTTGATACCTTTATCCGTTTTCCTTTTCACAACCCGAGACTGTAAAACCCAACAGGGCTGCAAAAGGCCGCCAGAAACCTGCTTGATCTTGCCGCCCATAAGCCCATGAAATTAATATCGATTCTCAGCCTTGGAGGTCGGCTTCTTCTTCTTTTTTTTTTTTTTAACTTTACAAAAGATGAACATTCTATTTGGCTTTTCTTTTCCCCTTAAAGACAAGCCGTTCCTCAAAAGGGCAGTGTTCTGGGAGGCCGCATCTTGATCCACTTCGCAAACAATGTATTTTTTTTTCATGGAGAAGCACCATGTGTGGTTTGGGGGGAAAGGGTTCCTCTTGAAGCCATTGGTGGGGATTAACGCGGAGTCTGGCCGCCCAGCTTCTCAGAGAATCCGCCATCTGCTTTCTGTGGTGCCCTGCGGCCTGCAGTGAAGGTCGGTTTGCTCTGTGTTCCTGTCCATCGGGGTGGGAGGAATTTGAATATTTCGTGTTCATCTTTCTTAGGCAAGTCCTCTGCAGGCTTGCTGCTGGCTCCCGCCAGCCCCACAAAATCCCAGGCTCCCTGGGGCAGCCAGAGACCACCACCCAGGCTCTGCTCTGTAAGCGACTGTGCATGCTAGGCCTGGCCAATGCCTCAATCTTATCTCTTCACCCTCCCCCTCGGGTTTCCATTCAGGTCCCTGCTCAAATGTCACTTCGTCAGAGGCTCCCCTGGTCATGCACCCAAATGACAGCCATGCTCTTACGGGGCCACTCGTTGACTGCTGTCTCCCACAAAATGTGAGTTCCCTGAAAGCAGGCCTTATTCTTCCCTGCTGCGGCCCCAGCACCCAGCACACGGTAGCTGCTCAGGAATATTTGTGGAATTAAATTTGGTTGGCCAAGGGCAAAGCACTCTACAGATAAAGGTTTCTGATTTCATGCTCAGGATCCTCACTGCATAAACCAGGAGACGTCTGCCTCAGGAAAAGCGACTGGTCGAGGGCACCTGGCTCATGAGTGGCAGAACTAGGCCCCAAGCAAGGCCCACAGACCCCAGAGCCTCCGTCCCGCACACCACCACCAGCTGGCCACCGAACACGCCTCTGGGGCCATTTCCCCTGCCTCCTCCTACCTGGAAAGCCAGGAGAATCTGTCCAGGAGAATATGCATGTGTCCACACCATGTTTTGGCTGGTTTTCTCTCCCCGGGGCCCAGTCTGGAGCTTAGGGTATGACGAGCTCTCAGGAAACCCTGAATAAGACGTTACCACCCCCAAATCTGTACCCTGACTTATGACCCCCCTCACGGTCACAGCATCTTCAGAACTGTCTGGATGCCTTCGTTCTGAGGATGAAAGTTGCGCCAGTCTGAAGATGACCAGGAGCCCTGCGGGCAGGCCCAGCTCTGGCATCTCGAGTCTCACTCTGACTCCTGCTGTCACTGCACCAGGCATCGGTCTACCTGGCAGAGCCCCCCCTTCCCCCTTGGGCCTCCGGCTCCAGGGCCCAGAGCACACAGCAGCCAGGGAAAGCTGGTCCCTCTCTTAAATGGCCCTACTTCCTCCTTGGCGGAGAGCGGTTTGTGCCTTCCAGGGGACATGCGGCACTGTCCGGGGATGTTTCCAGTTGTCACAGCTGGGAGATGGGGGAGGTGTTGCTGGCATCTTGTGGGGGAGAGCTCAGGGGTACTGCTAAACACCTCAAACAGGCTGCAGAGAGCAGCCCTCCACCATAGAGAATGATCGAGTCCACAATGTCAGAGGCGCCCAGGTTAAAGAAACCCTAATGTCGGCCATCAGAAAGGCAGGCTCGGCTCTCGGAAGACAACAGAGCGGAGGCAGGGAGATCCCAGAGGAGCCGGTGGGAGCAAGAACATGGAAGCTCGTGCCAGCTCATGCAAATAACCCTCCTCACCCTCATCCCCACGGAGAGGTCGCCAAGGTGGCCAAGTGCCCTGGGACAAACACCAACTGACTCAATCGGGGCTCAAGGAACTGCCAAGAAGCACGTGCTCCCATGTCCCCTGTACGTGTCCACTCTGAGTCCGCAGAGAAGAGAGGGTGTTTGAGTTTCCCCACGCTCGGTGGTGATCCCAATCCCTCCAGGGGGATGTGAAATGGGCTGAAAAGTTGTCTTCTCGTTTTTAGAGCCCCAGGCCCTAGTACAGTTGTCAGGAACACAGGCAGATGTCAGTTCTCGTTTGCGAAATGAACACGTGGGCGGATGGATTAAATGACTGAGAGGCCGGGGGTGTGGGGTCTGAAAGTGAACATTCACGGCCGTGCATGACTTCTCCCTCTAAGTCCTTGGCGATTTGAGAGCGGCAGCCCAGAAGGTAAGAGGCCTCACAGGGGAGGAGAGAGAAAGCCCGGGGACACGTGGCCCACATGTGTCCCTCACCATGAGGTTAGAGGCCCGCTTCCCCCGCCCTGGGACTCACTGCCATAGCCGTGCCAGGAGCTGCTACTCCGGCCTAGAATTACCTCTCTAGGAAGGAGATCTTTCCTTGTTGGAACCGGAGCACTCCTCCTAAAGACAAGAAGAGGTGGGTCAGAGCTGTAGGCCAAGTTACACATCTTTGCTTCTTGGCAGAGAAGCGGGGCTTGAGGTCGGATGAGAGTTCTGCCCCCCATCCCAGGCCCAGGTACACAAGGTCCAGGAGGGCACAAAGGCTTGCCTGCCTTCCGGCCTGCATGGCCTCACACCACCAGCCAAGTGGGGAGGGAGGGCCTGGACTGCGGCCAGGTCCTATAAGTCCTCACCGGAGTGGAGTCCCGCTGGTGTGGCTCTGTAGCTTTACCACAGGGACCCTCCTGGGAAGCTCCCCGAAACTGTAGCTTCCCAGGCTCTGCTCTAAACCCCCCAGAGATTAGATTCAGATGTGAGGCAGGGCCCTGAAATTTCTCTTACCCCCCACCCCTGAACAGGAAAATACTATTTCCCTCAGAATCCAAACTGACAGGGCCTGGATGTCTACGATGGTCCTAAGAATGTATAAAATACTAAAAACAGAGAAAAATGAGTCTGAGGCAGCCCCTACCCCAGGTGCTGACAGCGTTGTCCACTCCAGATGGGTTGCCATGAATTATTTTCTCCCCCTGGAAGGCCCACTTGTTAATTAGTTCCAAATCCTCCACGGCCCACCTGGAGAAGACACAGGAGTTCATCTGTACCTCAGAAGACAGTGCAGGCCCAGTGTCGCCGAGGGCAGCAGGGCAAAGGATCCACAGGTTAAGCTTGGTGGAGACTAAAAAAAAGTCAGAGGGGATTGGGCCCTCGAAAGCAGAAATAAAACAGCCTAGAACCTCTCCACTTCAGAGCGTGCCGTACCTTCCCTGCCTCTGGAGCCCCCTCCACCCGGCACCGTGGAGTGAGACCAGGCTTTGAATGCACACAGCCCTAGCAGCGAGGGACTCTGGGCCCGTTACATAACCTGTCTGAGCCCCACTGTCCTCGTCTGCAGGATGGTCACACCCATCCAGGACTGGCTGCAGAGGTCTCAAACAAGGTGTCCATGAGTGGCGGGCAGTAGTTACCACTGTCACAAACGCCCACATACCCATTTGCTCTTGCCGTGAGGACCAGGGAGCAGACGTGTGACCCTTCCCAAAGCCCACCAGGAATGTGATTCTAGGAGCCCCAGACACCCTCAGTGGGTCCCGTGAGCATGGACCAGCTCTGGATCTTTCCTAAGCATGCAGCCATGCTGTCTTGCTCGGGAGACGTGCGGGCTCATGCAGTTTGGGTGAGCAGACCCCAGGTCCATGAATTACCGAATAAGGAATATGGTCAGCCCCTTCCCTGTGCCTGGTCCAATGCTCATTTGCTGTGGGGTCTTGGGGAAGGCCGTCGCCCCCTCTGAGCCTCTCTCCTCACTGGCCAAATGTGGATGTGATGCCCCCTAACTCGCACGGTGAGTTGAGAAGCTCAAAGCTATCACCAAATGCCGAGCACTGAGCTGAAGCCTTTCTCCAGTGGCCATCTCCTGGAATCCCATGAAAACCCTACAGGGAAGGTACAGTTACTATCCCCTCCTACAGAAGAGGAAACTGACACTCAGGTGGTAGAGCAGATGCTGGTGCTGCTCACTACACCAGCACCACACCTGCAGACTGGGGCCCAAGCTCCCAAGACTGAGCTCCGTGGTGCCTACAAGATTCCCTCGTCTGTCCCATAGTTACTGGGCATCCACTGTAGGCCTGTGACTAAGCTCACATAGGGGATGAACCAGACATGGCCCCTGACAGCTTGAGGCTTGGCATCTCACAGACAGGGGGTACCCAGCGCAATCAGTATTTAACTACAACCCCCAGGAGATAGATGCGATGCGGGAGGATCGGGTTTGCCACATCTGGAAAGGGGAGGGCCTGAGGGACGGTGGGGGTGGGGTGGAGGGGAGTCAGCAAGGCAAGACATGCAAGGAAAACATTCCAGACTGAGACCGCGTAGCAGCTGGGACTGGGCAAGAGTCAGGCCTTTCCAGGAACTGCAGAGCGAGTGAACGATGGGGCAAAGAGGCAGTTGGACCCAGCCCTGGACCTGGCCATCTCCACAGAGGTGAATCTCCCTCCCATTCTGCTCACTGTTCATCCTTCAGGGGCTTGGATTTCTAACCCCCCTCTTCAGAGGAGATTGGGTTCCAGTTCTGTACGATTTGGAAATGCTGGGGCCAGGGCAGGGGTTGAGGCCCGGAAAGGAAAGACTGGGTCTTCAGGGGAGGCAGCAGAGCTGGCTCTAAGGAAGCCGTGCACACACACACACAAACACACACACGCGTGCACACACTCACAAGTCACACGTGCCCTTTGAACAACACAGCTGGTCTGATGCCCCATACATACAAGTCTATTCAGGGGACCCAGGGCAAGCAGGCCTTCACTGATCTAGGTTATAATTCATGATTAGCACATGCTAACGAGCACCATGGTAACACAGAATCACCAAACATCAAGGCTGGAAGGCCCCCCAAAGGCCCATCAGGAGTCGCTTCCAGAGGAGGAAACAGAGCCCAGACAGAAGAAGGGGTAAGCAATGGCCTGCAGCGAGTTACCAGCCAAACCTCACTGAAATTCCCGAAAACCATCACCTTGTGTTACCTACTGGTGCATCTCTCATCACCTTCTGGATTCTTCCCCCAACAAAAGCCACCTTTTCCCCACCCCTCCCACTTCTCTCCACGCAATGTCCTCTTGCTTTGGAACCAACCAAAGCAAGTGTGAAGGATGCTGACAGACACACCCCATTGAGAGCCCCCCGGGATGCGCCATGGCCACAAGGATCCAAGGGACCTTAGTGTGAATTCAACTGTATTTTAACCTCCATGTGTCAGAAGAGAAAGCAACAGACCAGACAGGGCACCCAGTGGGGCCAGGCCATCAGGAAAGCACGGCATCTTCAGGGCAGAGGAAGGAAACCTCCAAACCAAGTTCTGGAGGAGGAAAGAGGTCCTCCACCGCAGGCTGGCGCAGCGTGGCCTTGTTTCAGCCTGGGTCCCCACAGCGGGCAGGGAGGGCACGGGAGCACCGCTCTGGGAGCAAACACATGGCCACATCCGTCCTGGCACCCAGCACAGCCTAAGCAGCCTTCTCTCCGGCCAGCTGCCCTGGGGGAGAGACGCGGCCAGTGGTCCCCTCAACATGGCACACAGTGGGTACCCAAGGCCACCAGTAGGAGGGCCCCCCTGAGCCCTATAGGCCCAGGGACAGACCTCACCAAGAAGCTGCCAGGCTGGATTCTGGACTGGCATCACTCCCGAGGTGGGGCCCAGGACAGACGGCATCACCTCCATGCCTGGGATGGCTGCTCGAGGTGACAGACATGGCTGCTGGCGAGTGTCCCGACTGGCCTCACTGACTTACAGTGGGAACAGCAGAGGCAATGCCCCTTCCATGGAATGAGGACAAGCGCTCTTACAAAGGGCGATGCCTTCATCTAATACCCCTGTGTTTCTTTCTTGGCATCTTCTACTTCTTTTTCTTTTCTCGTATAACCATCCAACCTGTTACAGATAAGGACGCTGGGGCCCCGAGGGATACAGCGGCTGGGCCAAGGTCGAGGTCCAACAGTGAGCTGATGGCAGAAGTGGGCCCAATGGCTCCCTACATCCAGGCTCAGGTTCCTTCTGCCACACCACGGGCGCTTGAACCCAAATGAGGCAAGGTGGGGGTGAGGGGTAGGGGACCTGAAGTGGCTTAGCTAAGGGGCAAAGAGGTCAGACTCTGGGTTCAGGCTGCCTGGGTGCAAGTCTCGTTCTACCATCCCTGGCTGCATAGCCTGGGCCCATCTTCTGGCCTCTGTGCCTCAGTTTCCCCATCTGTACAATGGCCACATGACACCTCTGGCGGGGAGTCCTCTGAGTGAGAACCCACACTCGGGTCTTGGCGCCTGGAAAGGACAGCGAGCAGGGAGAGGGCGGAGACTACCTGCTGGCGGACACCCCGTCCTTCTGCGGGTTTGGGATCTCCTCACACGCGGTCAGGAGAGCGGCAGCCATACACGCAGAGTAGGCGGCGCTGGAGCCCAGGCTGGCCCCAGTGGGCAGCTGTGACCACACCGTGATGTCCAGGCTGGGCAGGGCCCTGAAACACAGTGGGGGTACAGAGCATGACTCTCCTGAGATCAAATTAGCAGTCGAGGCCCAGAACTGGACATTGGCAGGGCCTCACTCCAAGCCTTCAGCCTAGGTTTCCAAACTCGGAGACATATGCCAACCCCAAAAGTGGCCCTATGGGATTGGCGGGAAGTCATGGTGAGTCAGACAGCTTGGAAAGAGGTACCAGAATCATTTAAAGCACGAGGTTCCCTTGTGAATGGACCGTTTCTCTAAATTCCTTCCTGTTCCCTACACAGGAACCTTCTGTGGAAATATTCCCTACTCAGGAAAATTCCATGGCCATTGTCTGCTTGTATCCCTGCCTGGGAAAGCCTTGTGCCTCTTCCTCCCCCAGGCAAATGCCTGCCCATCCTGCAAAACCCTTCTCAAATGTCCTCTCCACGGGAAGCTTCTCCTGGCCACCCACAGAACTCATTCCTAGCTCCCCTCGCTGAGCCCCTTTCCCCACCATGGCCTTCTCTGGGATGCTTCCCCTGTTGTATTTCTCCCAAGCAAGGACTATTGTTAAACTTCACATTTAAATTTCACAGTTAAATTTCCCATTAATAAGATTTTCCATTTATAAAATTTATAACTTTTATAAACTTTTTATAATTTTTAATATTTTTATAAAAATAGAAACTTTTTATAATTTTTATAAACTTTTTATAAATTTTATAAACTTTTCCATTTATAAAATTATAGTGCCAAATCTGCTTTTCAAACTACACATGCCCACCCCACTCAGAACAGGAGGTTCTGAAACGCTTACCCCTTCCCGGAAAGGGATGTGCCCCCTCGCTCAAGTTGAAAATCCCACGGCAGACAGCAAGAGTTGGGACATTTGTGAACGTGCCCACTGCACCGTGCCTGGCCCCTGGGACCTACTCAACCAGTACCTGCTGTCTCAGTAAAGAGCTGTCCCTTAAGGCTTTCCCACTGGGCCTGGGACCAAAAAAATTAAAAAAAAAAAAAAAAATCACAGTGAAAATCACTGTGGGATAGGGACAGAACTAGGCTCACTTCATATATAATATTGCTAACCCTCCGGTAGTTTTCTTAGGAGAATATTAATGGCTCATACTTCTCAAGCTGTGTGATAAGCTCTGTGTCACACACTTTAGATAAATAAACACACTCACCCTCCCACGGAGCCTATAATGTACGGACTCTCACTTACTCCCATTTTACAGAGGCGAACACTGAGGCCCAGGGAGGGTAAGAACCTCAAGGAAGCTGGTAAGCAGACGCCGTGGGGTTGGCCCCAACACGTCTGGTTTTCCATTACCACGTGACACGGCCTCCACAGCACGGCCAACCCCCGGGAGCTGGCCTCCCTGAAGGCAGACTGCCCAGATCCTATCTTAAGGGGTGGGGCAGACACAGTCTTCACTCTGCTCCTTGTAGAGTTTTCCTGGCGCCGGCAGGATGTGCAGCGGGCCACCTCTGTGGACATGGGCCTGGGAGAAGCCACGTGGCTGGGGCAGGAACCTGGCTTTGGGCCCAGACCTCACGCGCACCTTCCCCAGACCATGCACGCACCTCTGCTTCCGGCAGATGGACAAGTACAGGTAGAGAAAGGCCAGCACAGCCAGACCCTCAGGATTGGCGCCGTCCTGGGTGATGCCAGCCACCTCCTTGAGCTTCTCCACTTGCTCTGCAGCGGGCGCTGTGGCGTCACCCTGCTCTGTCACAAGCAAGCACAGGTGGCTTGGTTGAGAGCGCCGCAGGCGCGCTTACAGACAACAGAACACAGAAACCCAAGCCGGCGTGAGATCAGCATCTGAGGACAGGGATGCACGGCCCTAACACCAGGGCTGCATCTGCCAGGCGCCTTCGGGCTTTGCAGGCATGCAGACCTGGGCGTGCATCCCAACAGTACCATTCACTGGCTCTGGGGCCTTGAGCACGTGACTTCCCCTCTCTGAACCTCAGTTCCCCTTCTTGGTAGGCGGGGAGAGTAGCGGTACCTCCTCCGAGATAACCTGAAATAAGGGACATAAAACCCACGGCACAGCTCCTGGTGTGTAGTACGTGCTGAATTAATGGTCGTCTTAAAACCCACGTCCACACACAGAGTGCAGGCTAGCTCCCCCTCTCGAAGGTCTGGGTCTGACCCCCATGGTACAAAACCTAAACCAAAGGCAGTATTCAGTTAATCCCCAGACGCATCCCTCTCCAACAACTCTCGAGAACGGGACACTTGAAACCTGAGAACGCGAAGTGCTGACACTGGTGTGGGCAGCAGCCAGAGGCTGCGTTAGAGCAGGGTACACAAGAAGTCCTATGTATGCCATGAGATAACAACACGCTAAAGGCAGCCGAGCCAGTTAACAGTGTTGCTGAGAGCATGGACGTTTTGGAGTGCTGCGAGGGAAATGGGATGACTCATTAAGGCGTTGGAGAGTTTAGGAGCACCTGAAGAGTTTAGGAGCAGCTGAAGTGCTTGCCTTCAGCTCAGGTCACGATCCCAGGATTGAGCCCCGCTTCCCTGCTCAGTGGGGAGTCTGCTTCTCCCTGTGCCCTTCCCCCTGTGCTCATGCTCTCTCTCTCTCTCTCAAATTAATACATAAATAAAAATCTTAAAAAAAAAAAAAGATGACTTTGGAGAGTTAAGAACGATCTGGGTGTGAATCCTTTCTGCATCCCTGACAGTGCCGTGTGACCTGAGCCACTTCGCCCCTGAAGCTCCATTTTCTCATCCATAAAATGGGGTGGATACCACCACCTGCGTCCAGGGCAGCCTGGAGGATTCTAAGAGCGCCAACAACCATGACATACTGGTCCAGTGCCTGTCACACATAAGGGTACCCAGTGAAATGTTCCCGGTGTTCTGTAACTGTTGGGAAGCAACCAGAGAACGCTGAAAGAAAAAGACAGAAGAGCCTGGAAATCTAGTAGGAAACATGTCTCTGAAGGTTTATGTTCCATATTCCTTTTTCTCCTTGGGGAAATCACTCACAAGTCCTCACACACATACTACACACTGCGTCCCAGCCCTGGGCCACCTGCTATCCAGTTGGATCCTCACAGCAACCCTCCCAGGCCACAGGACTCTGCTCATGGAGGCTCTGAAGGTTAAATGACTTGTCCAGGCTCACACAGGCAAGGGAACACCTCCAACCTCGGGGAGGGGAGCCCGGTGCACCATGGAAAGCAAGGGGTCTGGGTCTGCTCCAAAAGTCCTCATTGAGGATGTTCCTGGAATCACCCAGGGAGCTTCTTTCAAAATACACCTGCTTGGGGTACCTGGGTGGCTCAGTCCTTAAGCGTCTGCCTTTGGCTCAGGTCATGAACTCAGGGTCCTGGGATCAAGCCCTGCGAGGGGCTTCCTGCTCAGTGGGAAGCCTGCTTCTCCCTCTCCCACTCCCCCTGCTCGTGTTCCCTTTCTGGCTGTCTCTCTCTGTCAAATAAATAAAATTAAAAAAAAAAAAAACAAAAAACAAACCTCACCTGCCCAGTCTCCCGCCACCATGACCCCCATTCTTAATAGGAGAGGGGCAGGATCAGATATCTGTCCCTATTGTTAAGAACAATAACAACAAAGAAAACCTCCCCAGGGGATCCCAAGGCCTGACTGGTTGGGAAATGGGGCTTTACGCTGGTTCCCCCATCTTCCTGCAATATTTGGAAGTGGCTTGCTGGGGATTGATCCTCCCAGGGAACAGGGAGCAGTTAGGCAAAGACCCCCAGAGCACTCCCACTTGTCCCACTCTGGCTGAGAAACACTGTTCCAAACAATGAGGCATCAGCTGGGCAAGGAGATAGCAAATGAATGAATGGAGGACAGAAAACACCCTTCAGCTCTGGTGCGGGTGGTGAGCAACTGTGCAGATGAAAAACCCTGCCTGCTTAGGAGGGGACACAAGATTCACAGTATTATCAAAAATCAGGACAAGGGATTTTATTTATTGGCAAAGAAAGAAAGTCCTGATACAATGAAGAAAACAAAACAAAACAAAAAAACACACATGTCTGACAAGTTTGTATGGCCTGATCAGATTTTGGTTAAGGGACAAGATATCCCCCCCATCTCTCTCAATCTAACTATCCACCTGCAGAAAATAATCCAGAAAGATTAACATCAAAATGCTGAGAGTTATGGGCCGGACGGAGGGGGAGGGGGCGGTGGCCAGGGGGCAGTGGTAGCAGGTGACTTTTTTTCATTACTGATGGTGTTTCACTATTGACTCTGTTTTCCAATTAATAAGTATGTTACTTTTATTTATTTATTTTTTAGATTTATTTATTTATTTGAGAGAGAGAGAAACAGTGAAAGAGATCATGAGAAGGGAGAAGGTCAGAGGGAGAAGCAGACTCTCTGTGGAGCTGGGAGCCCAATGCGGGACTCGATCCTGAGACTCTGGGATCATGACCTGAGCCAAAGGCAGTCACTTAAGCAACTGAGCCACTCAGGCACCCATTACTTTTATTTTTAATGACACCTAATGCCAATCAATACCTTCTCCTTGTCAAAACCATACTACAGAAGGAAGGCACCCTCTGTCCACTCTCAGACCTTAGGACCCAGAGGTCACTAATCATCCCTGCGTGTATATATGTACTGGTACATAATCTGGGTCTTTCCTTACATACATGCTATTTGCATCTTGTGGTTTTTCACCCAACAACAGGCGTTGACAATCAGTCCACCACAGCCCACACAGATGCAGTCCATCATTTGATGCTCTTAAATTTAAAACAAATAAGTGAGTTAAGCTAATTTTATGGGGTTGAGAGAAAACACCCCCAGAGTGGCTAGTCTCTGGCCCTCTCAGAGACAGCCTAGAATAACTACCCAGCTGTCTGTCCCCTTTCCCCTCTAGGCAGGGCCCAGGCTCTTCCCACACCTGGTCCTTCCTCGCTGCACTTACCCAGAAAGCTCGTATCCTGCAGCTGAAGCTCAGCCACATCCCAGGCCCGCTTGACGCCAATGTTTGGTAAGTTGAGGCACACTTTCCCATTGCTGTGGGGCTGAAGCCGGAGGAATGTTCTCAAGTTTAAGGCCACAGCCAGTGCTACCTGTAGAATAAAGGGTAAAAGCAACGAGCCTGAGCATGGAGAGTGGGGGCAGGCACAAAGAGTTTGGCTCCAGTCTTAAACCGAGGGGTCAATGTCAATGAGGAGAGAGAGCATATACTAGCATACAGGGCACATGCCCACAAATGCCCTTGGCAGACACCGCTGATCAACCTTGGCATGCTCTCCCACTAAGTGGCACAGCCTCTACCAATAGTTAGGAACTAATATCTACTGATGTTTGCCCTCCTGTTGCAAAACTTCAGAGGTCCTGCACACCATCGAACAGCTTCCCCACAATCACATCAGCAAAGATAAATGTAAGCTAGGAACATAAAGGATGATGAGGAGTAGAGGAGCGCAGGAGTGGAAAAAGCATGAGCTGTGAGTTCAGACAGACTTAGGTTCATTCCCTGTTCTGCTAAGGTGTATAGGACCTTGGTCAAGCTGCTTCTCCTAGGCTTCAGCTTTCACATCTGCAAAATGGGATAATCAAAGTTTAACCATGGAGGGCGTCCTACAAGTTGAATGAGATAATGCATGTCTCAGACTTCTTTGCTGTTTCCTCCTCATCTTCCCCACTTCTGAATGTTGGGGTGCCCCCAGGCTCAGGGCTCCAACCTCCTTTCTTCTCCACCGAAGCCCACCTTCCAGGTTGTGTCATTCCACCTGCACAACTTTACATTTCAACTCTGTGCTCTCTTACTGGGTGAGGCCAGGGAAGCCCTTCAATGGACGTAAGGCCTGCTCTTCCCTGCTTCGCTGCAGACAAACGGATCTCCTCTCCTACGTACTCCAGGCTATGCCTCCAGGCTTCCTTTTGGCTTAAGGGTAGGGTTGGGGAGAAGAGGTACCCAATTCTCTTTTTTTTTTTTTTTAAAGATTTTATTTATTTATTTGAGAGAGAGAGAGAGAGAATGAGAAAGAGAGAGAGAGATCAGCAGGAGAAGCAGACTCCCTGCAGAGCAGGGAGCCCGATGCGGGACTCCAGGATCAAGACCTGAGCCGAAGGCAGTCGCTTAACCAACTGAGCCACCCAGGCGCCCCAAGGTACCCAATTCTCAAAGGCTCTGAGGAACTTTACCTTGCCATGAACCACAGCATGCTCTCCGTGAAGGATGACTTTCCCTGGAGCGGACACCAGCAGGACTTCTGACAGCATGGATCCTAAGAATCCTGAAGGAAAAAGCCAGAGAGAGGATGAAAAGTCCCCAGATCTTAGTATATTAAGAGAATGCCTAGTTCAAACTCATCATTCGAACAAAATAGGCAGCTACCATTCAGTAGTTGCGATGTGCCCCAAAGACTGTGCAGTGAGTCAACGCACTAGACAGAAAGCCCTAGGTTCAAATTCCAGCTCTTCCCCTCTCCAGTGAGGTCATCTTCGCTCACCTACTCCAGTGGCTAGGAATCTCGGTTTCTTCATGCTATGTGGGGACAAGAACCTACTTACTTCAGTGGGTTTTAGGAAAGGTTACCTTACATAATGGAAGAGGAACACCTGGCAATGTCTGGCACATCACAGTCATTCTATTCCTGATCTATTTATCTTTACCGGCTCTATTCTTAGTTGCAGCTTTTATTATTGCTACTGTTGAAGGCAGAAATTTAAATGCAATCATGGGTCAGAAGGAACGCTTCCCTGGACCTTCAGGCTGTTTCCAAAGCCTCACGATGATAAATCATAGGCTGTAGAAAACAGCGGTCAAACCCCTTCTTGCAAACGTAAGCCAGGATCTCCACAATACAGAGTCCTAGAAAGTGACTTGCTCGGTGGGTCTGCAGGTGTGCGCGGTTTCGGTTTTTACATACTCTGCAGAATTACCACCCATTATAGGCCTCGCGTGCGTTACCTTAATATATGACACCAGCCGCACTACAAGCCAAGTTACCACCGTGATCCCGTTTCTTAGCGGAGGAAACTGAGGTTCGGAACCGGGAAACTTACGTTTGTCCGAAGCTCCAAATCACTTCACACTGGAGCTCGCCGACCGCTCGGGACAGATCCCCAGAGTAGGGGACACTGAGCCAGAGAAGCCGGGAGCCCGGCGGAACCTCCCTCCAGCCGGCCCCCCAACTCCGGTTCTCACCCGCCTCCGCCCCGGGTCCTGGCGGTTCGGGACCTAGTCCCTGAGCATCGCCCTCCCGTGGGGCTCGTCCACCTCTCTGCCAATCAAAACGCGCGACCGGGGCGTCCCTTTACCAGTTGGCTTGAACATTGGCCAATAGGTGTGGGGATCACGCTCCGTCATGGCTTTCCCCGCCCCTTCAGTAAATCAATGGAAAACAAGCCCCTGGGAGTGTCCCGCCCTCGGTCGAGAGCCGCGGACCAATGGAAAATGGCGGCTGACAGTGGCGCGGCCTGAGGTAGGTGGAGTCACCCCAGACCTGGACGGGAGCCTGGCGGGGTCAGCCCCCGACTAGCTGCCTGGCGCATGGCTGTGTGGGGCTTAGGGTGCCGCCTGGGCCTGCTCGGGGGTGTCGGCGCCGGTAGGCTATTATGTCCCCGTTTCCAGAGCCACCGCCCCCAGGGCGTGAAAGACGGGGACGGGTGAGTGCCTGCTGGGCGGGCAGCTCGGCTACCTGCCGTGAATGGTGGTCGCTGTGGTGACGTCACACCGCTATGAGATCACCGCCGCCGCTGTCGGGTGACGTCCTCTCTTAGGCCTAAGCGGTCACGTGGCCACGCGGGCACGGTAGAAGCCTGAGACCAAGATTTCTTTGCACAGGTCCGAAGGCGGCCCAGCTCTCAGGTGTCCAGGCAGGGCCTATCCCACGGAGGGGGGGGGCCAGGAGGGCCATCGTGCCAGGCCTTGCAGTCAGGTGGGGCCTCAGTTCAGATTTTGACCTATGTCCGCGGCGGTTTCTCCTTTAAGACACAGAGATACACCTACTCGCTCTGAAGATGGCTGTCATCATAGACCTTAAAATTTGCAGCCCATCTCTGGACCTCAGAACCTGAAGCGTACCATGAGTTAATAATGGATCCATATAGTTCATAGATCCAGTAATGGAACGTTTTGAACAACCTCGCAATGGCGGGTTTCAGTGTTGAAGCCTGTATTAAAGGCTTTATGTGGCAATTTGAAAATGCCAGAGTTTGACTCTGTTTTAGCAATTTTTCATTTTTGAGTGTACCTGAAGCTTCACAGAATGTTAGTGGCCTAGATGGGCTTTTTCTCTGAGAAGCCCAGACTTGTGGAATAGAGGATAAGAGTTTGGATGGGTGGAAGTAGGAGTTTGGGGGAAGTAAGGTAGTCTTGGACATGAATCCCAGCCTTATGTGTTCCTGGGTGACCTGGGAAGGCAAGTCTCTACCTGTGAACTCCAGTTTTCTCCATGTGAAATGAAGGGTATAGGTAACTCCTACCTTTGGGGCTGTGAAAAGATTCCACGGATTATTCTGGGAGATAATGCCAGGAATCCAACACAATGGAGAGACTATGGAAAGTGATCAGTAAACTCCATGAATATTTATTGAGCATGAGCTACTCTGCAGTTATGGATGTGGGCAAGACACAGAACCCACCCACAAAGGGTAGAACTAGGAAGAAAGAGGGGAATGGTGTCAGCAGAGGAGGGTTAAATGCTGCCTCTGAGGCTACAAGCAGCAAGATGAGACCCACTGAGGGTGGTGTCACACTGGGTAAGCCATTCCCACTCACCATGTCTTGATGTCTATTTCTCCTCAGGCCGCAGTCTTCCTCGAAGACACCCAAGATCCCCAAGATATACACCAAAACAGGAGACAAAGGTAGGGGCAAGTGAAACATGCACCCCCCCCCCCCAAAAAAAGAGTCACTCCATCTTAAAGTTTTGTTGGGGCACCTGGGTGGCTCAGTCATTAAGCGTCTGCCTTCAGCTCAGGTCATGGTCCCAGGGTCCTGGGATTGAGCCCCGCATTGGGCTCCCTGCTCAAAAGGAAGCCTGCTTCTCCCTCTCCCACTTCCCCTGCTTCTGTTCCCCCTCTCGCTGTGTCTCTGTCAAATAAATAAATAAAATCTTAAAAAAAAAAAAGTTTTGCCAAATTGTTCCCAGTCCTTAAAAATTATGTAATGGATCTCAATAAATATTAAATGTTATATGGGGGGGTTAAAAAAATATATTAAATGTTATATGAAATGAAGGATGCCTAAGACCTATATAAAATATATATATTTTAAAGATTTATTTATTTGAGGGAGAGAACACATGCACAAGTGGGAGGGAGGGGCAGAGGGAGACGGAGAGAGAATCTGAAGCAGACTCTCTGCCCTGAGCACAAAGCCCAGTGCTGGGCTCAGTTGCACAACCCTGGGATCATGACCTGAGCCAGGCGCTTAACTGACAGAGCCACCCAAGCGCCCTAGATGCCCAGGATAATGCCTAAGATATATTAAGTGATAAAAGCCAGTTGCAGGACAATCCAAGTAATTGAAATCCACCTCGATAAAACTGTGTTGTGTGTGTATGTATGTATGTGTTCAGATAGGCATAGAATAGTCTGAAAGCTTACACCTGGGAGAGGGATTGAGTTTTGAGAGGGAACGAACAGAAGAGTTTTCATTGTTTATGGTACATACTTCTATTCTATCCTATTATTGTTTGTAATGAGCGGATATTACTTTGATTATTTAAACAATACCAGAACAGGATGCCTGGGTGGCTCAGTTGGTTAAGCGTCTGCCTTCGGCTCAGGTCATGATCCCAGGGTCCTGGGATCGAGTCCCGAATCGGGCTCCCTGCTCATCGGGCAGCCTTGTTCTCCTTCTGCCTGCTGCTCCCCTCTCTCTGTGACAAATAAATAAAATCTTTTAAAAAAATAAAATAAACAGTAGTGCCTGGGTGGCTCAGTGAGTTAAAGCCTCTGCCTTTGGCTCAGGTCATGATCTCAGGGTCCTGGGATTGAGCCCCACGTCGGGCTCTCTGCTCAGCGGGGAGCCTACTTCCTCCTCTCTCTCTCTCTGCCTGCCTCTCTGCCTACTTGTGATCTGTCAAATAAATAAATAAAAATCTTAAAAAAAATAAATAAAATCTTTGAAAAAAAATAAACAATACGGGAATGTAACATACAGAAAAAAACGTGAGATGTGGAAGAACATGTCAGTCTGACACATTTTCTAAAGTTTAAAACTGTGCAGATTACTAGTGTATGTATATTTTGGTGGATGTATACTTATGTAGTAAAAGTGTGAACATGTACAGGAGACACTTAATGCCACTGAACTGTACTCTTAGAAATGGTTAAAACAGTAAATTTTGTGTTACGTATATGTTATCACAATAAAAAAAAAAAGGGGGAAAGAAAATGTGCCCAGAGACAACAAGCAGAAGGTAGTGTTGATGCCCTCCAGCAGAGACCCCGAAGGACAATGTGGTCCAGTCAAGCTGGGTCATTTAGCTCCTTGCATAGCACACCGTGGGCTCAGTGAGAAGATACTGGAAAGACCTCATTGTAGGACTGGGCTTATGGTAGGTGACTGGGGGAGAGTTCCAGGAAGTGGGGCTTTCGCTCTGGATTGGATGCTGTAGGAAGCAAGGCTAATTTTATAGTTGGATTTCTTAAATCACTCTGAGCTAGAAGGTGGGAGAGACAAAGAGAGGCTACAGCTATAATAGAGAAACAGTGGTCCCTCGCCTTGGCCAGAAAATGGGGATGTTTGGTCATGGTTACAGTTTGGGCAGTGTTCTGGGCTCAGACATGATTAGGGAGGCTCTCGTTTGGACCTCGGTAAGATGGTGTTCCTTGAACTCGTCCGAGTTCCAGCAGGAGAACACCACAGCCTGTCTGTGAGCGCCAGGCCTGCTCCCGGCTTCAGGAAGCAGGTGTGCTCTTTCTCTGTGGTTAGGGGAGAACAGGCAAATTGTGACCTAGGCAGAGATACAGAGGACTTTGATTTTATGTGAAATATAATTATGATGTATACATAATATGTCCCTCTGTGTCTCATTTCTTTAGCAGGATGGTTCGTCCATGATTTGGGGGGCTTAAAAGTGTATCAGGAAAGAAGTGAGGGTAGGGTTTACCGTTAGGAGTAGCAACAGAAACGGGGTCCGTGGGGGCTTTGGGGATCTGATCCTATTCTAGTTCTCGATGTGGTTGCTGATCACGGGTATATTCAGGCAGTGGCGATTCTTCAACACGTACACTTCATTCTTTTTAAGATTTTATGTATTTGAGAGAGGAGGCAGAGGGAGAGAGAGAATTTCAAGCAGACTCCATGCTGAGCGGGAAGCTCAACGTGGGGCTCAATGCCAGAACCCCGGGATCATGACCTTTACCGAAGGCAGACCCTTAACTGACTGCGCCCCCCAGATGCCCCTAGCTTGTACTCTTATGGTTTGAACACTTTTCAGCGTATATGTTATACTTCAGGTGGAAAAAATTTTTTTAAAGATTTTATTTATTTATTTGACAGAGAGAGAGATCACAAGTAGGCAGAGAGGCAGGCAGAGAGAGAGAGGAGGAAGCAGGCTCCCCGTGGAGCAGAGAGCCTGATGTGGGGCTCGATCCCAGGACCCTGAGATCATGACCTGAGCTGAAGGCAGAGGCTTAAACCACTGAGCCACCCAGGTGCCCCCTCTCCCTCTTTTTTTAAAAAAGATTTTATTTACTTACTGGAAAATTTCTTTAAAAGGAGCATATCAAAAAAATTTTAAAAATCTTCACTTGAGTGGCTAAACATTTTTTCACAGGGTTTTCTAGCACCTTCACTGGAGAAAGGAGATTGAAAGATGACCAAGTGTTTGAAGCCATGGGAACAACGGATGAATTAAGTTCAGCTATTGGGTAAGGCCAACGGGATTGGCCTTGAGGTTGATTTTGAACTGGCTTCAGTCTGCGTAATTCACGTGAAGCTCCCAAGAGTGCTGGCTGGTCTGTCGGGCTGCCAGCCCTCAAGGAACCCGCCTTGGCCTGGTGGCGCAGGGCCTGTGTTCTGGTCCCTGAGGCTCCTGGGCTGTAGGCTCCTTTCCCTCTGCCCTGCCTGCTCCTGTCTGAAGCTGCCTCGCCCCACCCCACCCCCAGCTCCCCCACTCTTCAGGCGAGTATGAGGTGAGGTGCTCAGGACGGATAACGGCAGATGCAGATGGTTTGGCCAGCAGAGTAGAGAAGGCAGACGCTTTGGTCTGTGTGTGAGGGCGGCAGGGAGAGGCAGACACCAGATGATGTGGGCCGAGGGGTAGGATGGTGAGGTGTGCATCCACAGTTTGAGTCAAGCAACTCAGCAAACCATCAGCCCCCAGTCCGTGTGGGCAGGAGACCGGGGATGCCTCAGCGGTGGCTTCTTTGTCAGCACGTGAATGAGCATCTCCATGTGCCAGGCATGCCCAGCAGAGCACCTCAGCCCCCGTGCTCCATGGAGCCCATGCTCCCAGATCCCAGCTCTGGGGCTGGGGAGCAGACAGACACTAGAGGGACATCTGCAGGCAGTGGGGGCCTGATGCCGCTAAGCTCCGAGGAGGGGCCGATGCCTGGCCTGTGTCGCAGGGACATGAGCCCCTGCTTTGTGCCAGGCAGGAGGCTAGTGCTGTGCCCAGGGCAGACGGTGTCCAGCCTACAGAGCTGTCCCGCACTAGATGACAAATGACACATATGTCTGTTTAGTTCTCACTGTGAGATGGGCTACCGAGGCGCCCTGGGGGTTCTTCATTGGCCCTTCGGAGGCCGTTCACTCTTGTCTTCGCTGGTGTGCCCAGGACGTGGCCTGCATCACGTGGTAACACTGTCAGCCCCAGTCCCCTCATTCTTCAGCTTCTGGGTGGGTCCAGCCAATGGGAGGCACCAGCAGATGGGACATTAGTGGAGGCAGGTGTGGGAGCATTTCTGCTCCTGCTCCCCAGCGACTCTCGCCCAGCCACCTGCACATTGGGGTTCCAGCTCTCCTGGGGTGGTGACACCTTTGACCCTCCCTTGCCCCTTTAGGCCCCTACTTTTCCTCATCTTTGCCATCCAGTGTCAGTTTCCAGAACTCTTCCCATACTCTATTCATAGTCCCTTTGCCATCCTTTCCTCCAGGAATCCTGCGAAGGCACCGCTGACTTTTCCCTGCCGGGACTCTGCCTGGTGCAGAGAGAGGGTGCAGAGTTTGGAGGGAAACAGGAGCTGGGGTCCTGATCTGCACCTGGGGTGCTTGGCTTTCCCCATCCCACCTGCCTTCCCAGGGAACTCCTACTCCGCCTTCAGAGTCCCACCTCTAGCACTGCTTCCTCCAGGAAGCCCTCCCTGAACCCCAGCCAAGGCCAGGTTCACAGGACTCCAGCCCTTTCCTCTGGAGCGCTGACCTCAGTTCACATGCAGTCATCTCCCTGTCCTGCGGAACAGAGCCTGTGTCCCTTGCGCTCATACAGACCTGCCTGGACTGGGCCGGAGTTGACACGGAAAATGGAAGCATTGACTGGTTGAGTAATAGGTATGAGAAAAGGCATTTTGAGCAACACGCGTCTGCTAACCAAGTGAAAGGTTCTGACATTCTTCTTGTCAGCAAGAAAATTACCCCATGTGTTTGAGCAGTATTAGCTGGGTGACCCGCCCCAGCAAACTGGCCGCCTCATGTAAGGCAGGGCCCAGGCACGTTCTGTTAGAGGCAGATTCTTTTCTTTTTCCTCATAGGTTTGCTTTGGAATTCATCACTGAGAAAGGCCACCCGTTTGCTGAAGAGCTTCAGAAAGTAAGTAATACCGTCTCACCCCGCACTGGGCTATTATCCGTGCAGCCAGGCGGCCGTGACCGCACTTGCCATGTGACCATCTCTTCCTCTCTCTGCCATCCGGGGCTAATCGCTCTTTCTCTGGGAGCCTTAGTTTCTCCACCTGCCAAACAGGGACACACACCATCCTCCCTCCCAGGCAGGTGGTGAGGCCAGTACCTGGGGGGCAAGTGTCATGTGCAGTGGACTTGACCCAGGGCAATTCTGCCCCCTCCCAGGGGATGCTCAGCAGCATCTATTGTTATTTTTGGTGGTTACAAGTGGAGGCGGGGCGATCCTGGCATCTGGGCGGCAGAGACCAGGGACGCAGGTAACATCCTACAGTGCATGGAACAGCCCCCACACCAGAGAGTGCTCCGGGCCTGGACATCAGCAGCCTCTGGGCTGGAGAAAGCCAGGAAGGCCAGCTTCAGTAAGCCCTCCACCCTCGGACTTTGTGGCTGTTAGTATTCGTGTTGTGCAACTTAGGAAGCATAGAGGCTCTGGCCCCCAGACAGGCCTTCAGCAGTGGAGAGGGACACGCCCCCCCACCCCCAAACATGCAAGACAAGGTTACAGTCTACAGGGTGACCCGAGACTAGAAACTGCTCCTTGCAGGTCAGCCCTAAGCCTACTGCAGTCCTCCAGGCCAGGCCAGAGCCCACTTAGGCTCCTGGGAACAGATGGAGGGTAGTGAGGGGGCTGCAGAAGGATGGGAGCCTTCAATTGCTGGAACATTCTATGAACAAGGCCCCTCTGTGCACTGGAGGATAGTTTGTAGCCTCACAATGGAGAAATGGTCATATCCCCATATCCCCCGTGGTCATTTCTAGATGTGCTCATCTCTGAGCAGAGTTTGCAGAGGGAAAAGTCTGGGAAGGTGGGCCAGTGACATGATGAGCTGACCTGTGCTTGAGGCCCTTGTCCTCTGGGTCACAGCATCGACATCACCTCCTCTGGGGCCTGGGCTACCCATCTGGCCCCCCGTGGGCACCACCAAGATGGTGAGATGGTCTGATCCGTCTGTCTCCCCACTGGCCAGGGCCCCTTGAGGGTGCAGCCTGTGACTTTTTACCCAGGAGCGCTGCCTGGGCCTTGCCCTCCTCGCAAAAGCACTTGAGCTGGAGGTCATTGTCCATGTTGCATGGGGATGCCGGTCGGGAATCAACTAGAGCTGGGGTCCTAGTCCCAAACCGGTGCCAGCTCCCTCCAGTCCTAGGGGCAGACGCTGCAGGAGGCCAAGCCCTGGGGTAATATTGTTACGCTGCCTCCCCCCGGAAGCCCCAGAGACACCAGGCTCACTCAAGTAACTCACCCAAGTCGCAGCCCAAGGAGGGTTCCGGTCCACTGCTGGGTGGGCGGCCTCTGCTCTCCTCCACCATGTCCTGCTCCTGGCAGGCTGTCACCGTGACTGTGTTCACAGAGGCCGCAGGCCCCCACCCACCCGACAGCCCCCCATGCAGCTTGAGTGGACTCTGGCTAGGCACAGGGTCCAAGGTGGTGTTGCGGGTGTCCTTGGCACGGGTGCCTATGGCTCGTCATGCAGGGGCTGACTCCGTTCTCCCAGATGCTCATCCTTCGTGGTGTAGAAAGCACTGTCATGTTTGGTGTCTTGGCTCAGCTGTCCTGCAGTGGAAAACCAAAGCTGTCGGTTTAGAGAAAAGGGAAAAACCTTGAGGGGCCTAGGCACGAGGGAGGTGAAGACGGGTTGAGAAGATACTCGTCACTGGGCCGTCACTGGGTGCTTGTCACTCGTCATTGGTGTGACCCGGGTATCCCCGAGGGACCCAGGGCCCCGCTCAGCAGAGCTGGCGTGCATAAGGTTCAGGCCGACCTCGTTAATTCATCAGCCTCCAAATGCCGGCTAGCTAAGGGATCAGAGCGTCCCTGCCAGGCCCGCCTAGGGAGCACCTCTGCATGCGGAGCCCGTCATCTCTGCTTGGCCTGCCGCAAGTGGATCTTCATTCTTGCCCTCTGTTGCTTCCCCAGATCCAGTGCTTGCTGCAGGATGTTGGCTCTGCTCTGGCCACGCCACGCTCCTCAGCCAGGGAGGCTCACTTAAGTAATGTCTCTGTGCTCGGAGGGCCCGAGGTGGTGTGGGGGGGACTCTGTCCTGGGTGTCCCCTGGGTCCCCTGGCAGCCTGGCCCCTACACCCTGAGAAGGAAGGACCTCCCGAGCCCATGGGAGGGGTTTGCAGAACACCTGGGCAGAAGGGACGCAGGGGTGGCTTCCTTGGTCTGGTGGGCCGTGGATGTCATGGCCGTGTCTTTCTGCTTCTCCATCCCTCAGGACACGCCACATTCGAGGCAGGGTGCATCCTGGAGCTGGAGCAGTGGATCGACAAGTACTCCAGCCAGCTGCCCCCACTCACAGCCTTCATCCTGCCGGTGGGCACTGGGGGGTCTCACCCAGGGGATGGCTACCAGCCAGGCGTGTTCCTGGAAACACAGACATTGACTGAGTCCTCTCTTTAATTTTTGCCGGTGACAGAAGCCGCCCCCAGCCTCCCGAGTCCCCTCCAGACCCTCACCAGTCTCTCCCCCACCCCTGCAGGGCCCCTGGAAGCAGAACACTGCCCACTAGGGTACAGGGCCCTATGTATCTGCCAGCCCATCTGGCTGCTGTGGGCACGCCTGCCCCCCAACACCGGCTTCCCACCTCCTCCACCCCTGCCAACACCCACTTTTTCCTTGCAGTCGGGAGGCAAGAGCAGCTCTGTGCTGCACTTCTGCCGGGCTGTGTGCCGCCGAGCAGAGAGACGGTAAGGGGGCCGAGGGAGAGGACGGGGCAGGCCCCGGGGGGGTTGGCTCCGTGCCTTGCAGCCGGCAGTGGACAGACCTTCGCCTGCCATTTTTGCCATACCAGATGTCTGTCCTCAGGGGACGTCACACCATGAGTAGGGCTGTGAAGGACGTGTGTGGGCACAGGGATGCCTTGTGAGGCAGGAGTTGAAGGCTTGTGGGGGGTGGGGAGGGGCAGTGTTCAGTGTGAGGGGATAGTCGGGGCAGAGGTGACCCTGCACGGAATGGACACAAAGGAAGCTGAGTGTCAGGGTCCAGGGCGAGAACGTGTGGGGCATGGTGAGACCAGAGGCTGCGGGGCCTCATCGGTGCAGAGGGGTCTCCCTCTGTCCTGAGAGCCCCAGGAAGCCATGGATGATGGGTTTTAGGCCGTGGGGTGACATGAAGGGACCCTGCCGGCTGCTGGGTAGAAAAGAACCCAGAGGAGCCCCTGTGGCTCTGGGGGGCCTCAGGGGGAAGCTCGCTACAGACCCACCAGCCACTGTGCTGACACCTCTGACGTGGAGTCGGGTGGGGGGGGGTCCCCCAAGAGCTCCCAACAGCCTTTTCAGAGAAACTTTAAAAGAGCTCACAGCAAAGCTTCCATGGACACGGAGAGCAGCTGCCAGCCAGCTTTCCAGAGAAGTGGAAGGAAAGCCCCACTTAGAGAGTCGGCAGGGCTGTGCTGGGCACTTCCTGTTCCTTATTTCATTGGCGCCACGTGATAACCTTGGCAGAGAGGCGGTCGCAGCCGCCAGCATACGGGAGTCAGGGAACTGGAGCTCAGAGAAGTGACGTCTGGCCAGAGCGGTGAGCCAGCTGCTCCCGAGCTGAGCTCTGTCCACAGCCTCCCATCATAAAACTTTCCTCACTCATGGAAGGTTCTTGGGCCCAAGCAGTTGGCCAGAGCAATCTTGGGTAACAGAGCTCCCGGGTAACAGAGCTCTGGCCTCAAAAGAACAAATCAGTTATTTGTACAAAACTAGCCACCTCGGCAATGCTTATAATAGCAAAAAATTGGAGAAACCCAAAGGCCCAGCAATGGGCCCCCTACGGAGGATGGGTCCTCGGTACATAGGACAGGGAGGTAGAGACGTGCCTAAGGGATGGAAAAGCCACTTGGGCAGGGGCCACAGACGGAGAGCCTCGGTTTGGGGGGAGCACCTCCCAGCAAGGGTTCTGTGGCAGAGGGGACGTGCAGGAGGGGCCTAGCAAGGGCAGATGGCAGTCAACTGTCTGGTACGTCTGCACCCAGACCGGCAAGGAGCAGCTGGTGTGGGACCCAGCCCCGGGACCCCGGAGTGCACATGATGTGGTGTTTCCTCTCCTTACAGTGTGGTGCCCCTTGTCCAGATGGGTGAGACGGACGCTAACGTGGCCAAGTTCTTAAACAGGTACTCAGATGGAATTTGGGGCATCCCAGGCCTCCCTCTGAAAAACTAGGCCCACTGTGGCAAGTAACAATAAGGCCAGGGGCCCCACATGCTCCTTCATTCCTTTCATACCCATGGAGGGTCGGCGACGTGCTGGATGCTGGGCCAGCCACAGGGATGCTGCTGAGAACAAGACAGGCACCGTCCCTTTCCCTGGGGAGGTGACGATTTCACTGGGAGAGGCTGTTAAAAAACCGGCAGCACAAAACATAAAAACAAAGGGACAGTGTGTAGCAAGGGGCCCACATTCAGGTTTGAGGGACCAGGGAGCTCAGGCTGGGATCTCTCAGCCCCTCCCTGCAAGGCCCTGGGGCCATGTGAACTGAGAAGAGACAGCATGGCCAAGCGGACCCAGGGCCATCCGAGCCCAGGGCCCCCCCCCCGCACAGAACTCGGTGAGCTGGGCTGGCCCTGGGGAGGCTCCACCAGATTCTGTTAAAGCCTTGGCTCATGCAGTTGGGGGCCCCAGGGCAGGCTGAGAACCCAGGGGCCCCTGGGAGCTGTCCTGGGTGTCCAGAAAGTGACTTCACAGCCAGGGTCTAGCCCCTTGCTGTGGTCACTCTTCCCACTGGGCTATGACCCAAGCAGCTCCATTCTTCCTGGGAAGTGGGTGGGCCCGAAGGGAATGAGGAAGGTTCCATTCCTCATCATGGCAGTGATCTTTGGGGAACATTATAGTCCAGAGTGTGTGGGCCGAGCCAGTTCATTCCCTCAGTAAGGAAAGCGGCACTGAGCACGTGAGATAAAAGTATGTCACCACCCTCCAGGACGGGGGGACCCCCAGAGCAGAATCTCTTCCACTGGTCACAGCCCCCACCCCCAGAGAGACAGTCAGGCATTGGCAGAGGGGGCACGATCCCAGTGGGAGCGTGGGTCTGGGAAGGTTCCAGCAGGACCTGGCACGGAGCTGGCCTCAAGAGAGTAGGATTGGGGCGGGAGAGGAGGAGGAGCGTGGTGGTCAGTGCTCAACATGGGTACAAGGAAAAGTGGGGGAACCACTGAGAGGTAGGCGGCTTTCTGAACTCACTGCGGCCATCCTAGGGCAGGCTGGGCCTCTCCAGTTTGGGGTGTCCCAGTCCCAGTTGCTGGCAGGTGCAGAAACCAGCCATCAGGTGCATCAGCCCTGTGAGGTTGGGTGGGGTAGCAGCCTCGTCCAGCAGCACCGGCCTCAGCCCTGTCACCCGAGTCACAGAAGAGGGCCTGGAGGGCCATCCATCAAGGCCGAGTTGGCTGCGTACCCCTGTCCTGCCCAGTGTTCCTAGGGCATGATTTATATTTCCTCCTTGAAGGCTAATATGGGAAGGACCCGGTTAGCATTGATCTCTCATTTCAAATCATCCCATTGACTTCTCTCTGCCCCTCCAGACTCAGCGACTATCTCTTCACGTTAGCCAGATATGCGGCCATGAAAGAGGGGAATCGGGAAAAAATATACAAGAAAAATGACCCGTCGGACCAAGCCTGAGGCATGTGGAAATAATGCAAAGTGGGGAGATCTGCAGACCTCTCTCGCTGGTGAAGGTGTGTCCTTCCCGTCCCAATTCCTGAAGATCCTGGCCGGGATGGGGCTGCATGAGCCTCCTGCCTGCTCCCCTGGCCTTTCCCGCGTCACAGAGGACGTGGGAGTGAATGAATGGAGTATTGCCGAAAGTCAGGTCAAGTGACTGCTGCAAGGAAGAGCCACGTAGAAAAAAATAAAAGTGGGACAAGCTGGAGCCATGTCCGTGTGTGCGCCCGCTGCAAGCCTAGGGGCCGTGGGGATTTGGAATGGAACCGGAGGCCCTTGGAAATGGACTTGAGATTTAGCTCGGCCACGCAGACTATAAACGTCATGTTTCTAAAGGGGAAGGCGGAGGGAATTTGGCAGTTTGGTAGCCTCTGAGCCACCATCCCCGCCCATGTCGGGGGGGGGGGCGTGGGGGGGACAGTTCAGACCCACGAGGCGTGTGCACAGCAGGGGGGAAGCCCAGAGACCAACCACCCTCCTGGAGGGGAGCCTGCCTTCCTTGGTGGGGGAGTGCTGAGGGACGAGGGGCAGAGACCTTGGTGAGAGGGAATAGCACTGCTCAGCAGAGGATTTCTTTCTCTGCTGGTCTTGGCCTCTGAGATCTGTGCCATGACTGTACTTCATTTCTCTTGTCACCCCTGCACCCGCACCCCCTGCCCCCACACGAAACAACTCTGCCAATGCCAGCTGTGTCCTTGGGAAGGGGATACTTATGCAGGGCAAGGAGGCGGCCCCGAGAACGTGAAGACAGCACGCTGCTAATGGCAGGAAATGACTCCGGAAGGGCAGGCTCTTGTGAACCTGTCAGGGCGGAGCCGCCTGGTGAACTCCGGCAGCAATCACTCACTCACCGAGCAGCCCCAGCTCAGCTCCAGGCACCAGCCCGGCTCAGGGAGCCTGGTCACACTGGCTCCTGGCCAGCGGCTCCGAGACCACAGAGACCATCAGTCACGTGCAGACTTTGGCTCTCATTGCCACCACCATGTGCCTGCTAGTTTTGCCGAAGGAACAGGGACAGTGCGTCCTGCTGGGTCCGTCCTTGGGTTCCCAGCAGGACACGCTGACCCTCTTTAGCCAAGACGGCGTGGCCAAGGCCCCAGCGAGCGTGGGTGAGGGTGAGGGCCCCCCAGTGGCTAGCACCAGGCCTGGTACACTACAGGTGCTCAGTGCTGGGGGGCAGAGCTGAACGCCTCGAAGGCACCAGCATGTCAGGAGGGGCTCGGTGCTCAGGCTGGGGCGGCAGGAGCTCGCAGGGACAGGGACCCACTCCCCTCACTCAGTTCTGCCTGCCCCTTCAGATCCTGCTGGAAGGAGCAGGACATAGTTACCGAAACGACAACCCCACACCCCTAGCCATGGTAAGACACCCTGCAAAGGACAAGAGAAGCTCTGTGAGTCAATACAGCATCGAGGGAGCCTTCGAAACAAAGCATTCGGCCTATTGCTGTATCCTGGGCCCCAGCAGTCCTTGCCGAGAGGAGCCATCACAGGCCTGACTTTCTCCCTCTAGGTCCCCAGGCCCTGTCTCAGCCTCCTCCTGCCGTTGGCCCGCAGACATGCCCCCAGACATGGCCCGGGCGCAGGGCCCATTCGGCAGCTCGGGAGGGGCCCCCCCGCATCGCCAGCCTGGAGAAAACAGCAGGCCAGCTCCGCGGGCCCAGAGAACGGACTGGATGGGAACGTTAGCTCCTCTGCGGAGCCCAAGAAAAAGGCAGCCTGCGCACCCCTCCATGCACTCCCCCAAATAGCCTCCTGTATCTGGAGCCTGGTGGGGAAACGTGAACGCAAAACTCCGCCATCAACACACACGACTAGGCACAAAGCCCGTGGGACCTGAAGGTTTGCACCAGGCTGGGAAAGCTTCCAAGATCTAGCCCCCTTGCACCTGAGGGCAGGCTCCAGCAAGAAAACAGTGGGCTGCTTTTACTTAAAATTATGAGGCCTCGGGGCACCTGGCTAGCTCAGTCGGAGAAGTGTGCGACAATCGTGGGGTCGTAAGTTCAAGCCCCATGTTGGGCAGAGAGAGTACTTAAATATAAAAATTAAGGGCGCCTGGGTGGCTCAGTTGGTTGAGCGACTGCCTTCGGCTCAGGTCATGACCCCAACTTCCAGGATCGAGTCCTGCATCAGGCTCCCAGCTCCTTGGGGAGTCTGCTTCTCCCTCTGACCTTCTCCTCTCTCATGCTCTCTCACTCATTCTCTCTCAAATAAATAAAATCTTAAAAAAATAAAATTAAAAATAAAAGTTAAAAACGTGTGAGTCCTTGTTGATCATAGATCTTTTGCATAACTTGGATTTTTAAAAAATAGCATGTGAAAATTCTATTTATCCTGACTTCTGGGGTATGGGCGCTCCAGTATGCTGGCTCACCTGCCTTCCCCCGCCCCGCCAGGCTCTCAGGGCAGGGACACATTTAGTTCCCCCGCTGGTGGTTGGATAGTGAGAGAATCCTCACACCAGCCAGCACCCGGGAGGGGTTTACCGCCGGCCAGGCCCCGATCCAGGGACCCCACAGACCGCATGCTTGTTCAGACTTCACAGTAACCCCGAAACGGGCACTCTCTGTAGGGGAGAAGACTGAGGCTCGAGGGAAGCCCCTTCCTTGTCTCCGGGAGTCAGTCCGGAAGTCAGCACCAAGGTGCCAGCCCAGGATGGGGCCTTGCGACTGCCTCCCCACCAGCACCCCTTGACAGCCGTTTTAATCACGACCTGGACTGCCAAGAACAATGTCAGACGCTAATAGATTCTCCTGTCTCATTTCTCAACCTAGTTTCCCTTAACTGATATCTCCTGGCTATTGTTAATGTGCGTTTCTCATGGAGTAATTTTCTCAGCCTGAAATTGTAACACATCCCAATGACAAACGTCCCGGTTCCGAATCCCCCGTCAGCTGCAATGTCACCCTCGCCTCCTCCCCCACGACACCTTCCTCCGGCAGCCCATCCAGTTTTATGATCGCTCTGTCCCAGTTATCACTACTGAACCTTTAAGAATCCAGACGCACTTCAAGTTTAATTGAATAAAATTCCTTGTATAATAAATTCCACATGAATGCTACATAAATCAGCACCTGGAAGTATTTGTGGCTCATCCCTCCCTTCCCTCGCCCGGGCTTGGGAGTCTTCCTGGCAATACTGGACCCAAGCTGTCCCGGTCTTGCTTACTGAGGGGACTCACCTTTGCAAGCCCGACTGGGCGTGCTGTCCTCCTTCTCCCGGAGTCCCTCGTGGAAGGCCATGCTTGAGCCCAAGCAGAGGCAGGGGACAGCCAGGCTGAGGACATCTGAGGCCTTGGGGATGTTCCCTGTGTTCTCTCCCACTCCACAGAATCAGACACTTCTGACAGAGGCTACGTGCACACTCTCTCAGGACAGACACGCACACACGTGTTCACAGGATGTGGACAGTTTGAGGCAGACCACAGAAGTCCCAGGGATGTATCCCTTCTTTAAAATAACCAGTGGTGGGGCGCCTGGGTGGCTCAGTGGGTTAAAGCCTCTGCCTTCAGCTCGGGTCATGATCCCAGGGTCCTGGGATCGAGCCCTGCATTGGGCTCTCTGCTCAGCGGAGAGCCTGCTTCCTCCCTCTCTCTCTGCCTATTTGTGATCTCTGTCAAATAAATAAATAAAATATTTAAAAAAAAAAGGATTTAGCATAACCCCCAGCAAGTTATCTGGTTTTTGTTTTTTTTAAAGATTTATTTATTTGAGAGAGACAGAGCACGAGTGAGAGGGGACAGCGGGTGGGAGACAGAGAATCCTGAACCAGACTTCATGCTGAGTGCGGAGACCAACAAGGGGCTTGATCTCATGACCCTGAGATCCCGATCTGAGCCTAAATCAGGAGTCAGACGCTCAGCTGACTGAGCCCCCCAGGTGCCCCAAGTTAACTGTTTTCATAGTTGTTGTTACAACTTGAATTCAGGTTCCAGCCCTGCCGCTTCCCAGCTGAGCTGCCTCCAGTAAACTGTTCGACCAGGCTGAGCCTTTTATCTTTTACGACTGGGGCTGATGATTCAGCTTCCAATGGTTCAGGGAATAAGCCCATGGGTTTGGCACGTGGGAGCTGCTCAAAAAAGAAATAGCTATCGCTGAGTTGTGTCTTCTTTTTAAAGCACTTCCAAGGAGCTCAGGCAGGGGTGAAGCTCAAAAGAGCCCTAAGCAGTGCCCCTCGTTGGTTTGGACTTGCTGAGGCCGGGGGACACACGTGGCCTCTGGCGGCGGGGCGGTCCCAGTCAGACCAGGGGCCCTGGCTCCATTATTCAGACAGAGCGGTAAGAGCCGGGAGGGATCTCAGAGATCACCATTCCCATTTTACAGATGGGAAAACTAAGGCCAAGAGAGAATTTAGTAAGTAAATATTAAAAATGACCACAAATTGAGTAGTGATTGTGTCCAGGCATCTTGCTAAACACTTTACCTGCAATGGCTTATTTAATTCTTCCACCCAGCCACGAAGGTGGTACTATGAATATCGCTGTCATCTGTAAATTCCAGTGAAAAACCAGCACAGCTGGGAGAAACGGCTTTCTCGAGGTCACATGGCTCTAGGAAGTGGGGCTAGGCTTAAAGTCAGGGCTCTACGCCCTTCACCACCACAACTAACCTTTTCTCAACTCTCAGCTGTTTGCTCAGGTGGACCTCGATGTCTCCTATTTCTCGGAACCCACTGAGGCCTGTGCACGTAGTCTCCCCATTTTACAGGTAAGGACAATGAGGCCCAGAGAGGTGAGGTCGCTTGCTCAGAATCCCACAGGGTCCGCTGGGTTGGGGACGTGATGACTATGATGACATCCTCATAAACGGCTGACGCTTACTGAGCTCTCGAGCAACACGAGGAATATTCTACGGTGTGATATGAGAGCAGCTTGTGCATTTAGCATGTCCCGCCCACCCCCCACCGCCCCCTCAGGCAGGAATCCGTAGCTTTGTTGCAGATGCAGACATGGAAACTGAGGTCCGGGGAGAAAGCACTTTGGCAGGTGGTGTGCAAGTAAGAAGCCATACTCGGACTTGAACTTGGATCTGTCCACCTCTAGCACACTCTTACCTCTCCACAGTGACTCATGCTGCCTGAGGTCTCCCTGCAGGCAGCAGTGGAGCTGGGACGAGAATCCCAGTTTTCAGATTCCCGTTGCAGGGCTGGCTTGGGACAGTGGTGATGAGGTCACAATTGACAGTGAAGTAGGGGAGGGGAGGAGAAGAGGGT